AAATGTGAAGTTATCTATAATAATAAATGGGCATGTCTGTGTGTATGGTCTTCATAGCTCCAGGAGGAAAGAACCTAAAAACCTGAAATTTTGCACCCATACTAAGTGGACCCTGAGGGTGTGCACCTAGGTATTACTTGTCCACATGTATGTGCACCCCATAGTATATCAGTTAGATTAACAACTTCTAATAAATAGAAAAGCCAGTGCATTTTGGTAACAATGCATTCCAACAATGTCTTTCATGTTATATTGCTTACAAACAAAAATATAACCTAATATTGTTGTTAGTCTACGTACTAAAGGTATAAAATGAAATGTATAAACAACAAAAAATGGAAAAATATTTGTCGATTTCTTAATTTAGAGGTTGATTAAAGTGGTTTGTTTTTTATTAAAAACATTGGTGATATAACAGAAAATACCTTAATTCAGAAATAATTTAAGTTTGAAATTGGATCGATATTTTTACTTTCATGATAAATTTTATGCACTTGCTAAAATATATCAACCAATTAACCCATGGAAAGACAAGTACTTTTTCTACTAAGGAAATATAAGAAGATCTATGATCGCAATGTCTATTCCCTGTCATGATTAATTTGTTAGTCAAGTTTTGAGATCAGTAAGGCTTACCCTGTACTTACGGTCAAGAAAATCATAAACCATAGCAAGGATTTCTATCCATAAAGGATGGTCAGCTGCTGGTCTACCATGTTTTTCATAGTCCACTACAGCCCTAGTACTTTTGTTAAGTTTATTTAGGCTTTTGCACGTTAGAAAGTCTGTCAGGTAATGCACCTTTCTACAATGTAAGATTCATTGTATATTTTACAAGTTATTATATACATAATATTTTTTATTTATCTGTTAAATCTTCACGCATCTTTAGCAGAAAATTTCTTTTTCTTGCAGCCATTATCTGGATATCATGCACAATATATTAATATCTGTTTTAGTTTTGCTTGGTTTTGAACAAGTTTTATACACAAACCTGGCCTTTATATCACTGACTGTTAGTTTCTTTTAATTAAATCTGTCACTAATGTATGGTATTATCTTACCACAAAGTTAATTGCAAGTAGTATCAGTTAATCTTTTAATTTTCTTTGTAGCAGTTTAGAATGTATCACAGGTAAAATTATCTGAGTAACTATTCAGTTTAAATGTGTGATGTAGATCTTTCAGTCCCTTGAGTTTGTTTCTTTAGAATTCTAAAATCAGTTGAACATCTAACATGTCCTGTAATAAATGCTTTTATTTTGATATGAGTGTGGTGATGCAAATCTGAGTGTAGGAAAACTGGTCTACAAGATGGAATTTGATATACTCATTATGTTTACTTAGTAAATAATTAAAAACATCTAGGAAACTGAGTTGGACACTTTTTGCTGAGTGTTCTAGAGTAAAAGCTGTATTTGTATGTAAGCTGTTCAAATAGTTGTGAAAATGTACCTATATATACCTTAACCAGAACATAGGTTTTTCACCTTTTTTTGGGACCATGAAGTGAGTGCACTACTTTCTAATATGTGCATGAGCACAGTTGAAAAACTACTGCAACTCTCTATAGTCTGTTTATCATTGTGAGTCTAGCAATGTAAATAGAAGGTCATTCCTAAAGAAGTTGCAGAAACAAAACATTTATTGATATAAATATAACCTTGTTCTGGAGTTTATAGTTGTTTCTTCATCATACTGTAATTAAAGGTCATTAGATAAATATTAGTCCAACTCATCAATAAATTGATCCCATTCATTTTATATTATCTAAACACCCTCAATACAGTTAGCTATATATTAGTCCAACTCACTAGTTACTTGATCCCATTCACTTTATATTATCTAAACATCCACAATACAGTTAGAAATACCTAAGAATTTAATGTTCCCAGCAAAGTTAATTTTGTCCCTATCAATTTAATTAGTATAAATAGCAAAGATCAAAGGTCCAAGCACTCACCCCTGAATCACTCCACTAAAAACACTACTAATATTAATAACAAACAACTACTGGCTTTGCCCAATCTAATACCCTATAATCCATTCAATTATTCTTTTCCAAAACCCGTATTGATCTGATTTTCTAAGATAATCCTACATGTGGCACCTTATCAACTTTTTTTCCTGAAAATCTCAGTACATCTACTCTGAAACCTTTCCATCTTCCAAATAACAAGTGAAACACTTGAAAAAAAAAGTTCCTTATTGGGATGTCAGTCATCATGTCACTCAAAAAACTATCAAAACACTCAAAATATATACAATAAAAATTCAATAGTGAAAAAAGGAACTAATAAATACTTAAAAAGTAGGCTACATTTTTTGGGGGTTACAAGAATATTGGAGTCAAGAGAAAACTTAAAAAATAAATTTAAAATGTTAAATAAGAAAAAACTTGCGGTGTCTGATATGAAACTAAACTGAACAAATATTCAGTGAAAACAAAAAGCAACAACACGAAAGAACAAAAACAACATTTGGTTACAGCAACAATCATAAACCAATAATTACCAAAAATACACAACTGAGAAAAAACTGTTACAAAGAAACCTTATAAATATTACTAACAATCAAATACAAAACTTTCACAAAAATCCATAGAGCTGTTTACACAAACCAAAAACACTGCACAAATATAGAAACATGCAGTACATAAATCCATCACAAAAACAAAACACAGTATGTCAAAAGTCTTGGAATAACTTCAGATATAACAGAAAAACAAGAACTAAAGATGATATACAACCATGCCAAATTACTGGAAAATCTAAAGACAATAAAACTATCTAGATCAATTCCTAAAAAAAAAAGACAAAATACAGTAACAAAGTTTTGGCAAGAAATACATTTACTACCAAAAACACACAAATGCCGAAGATGTCAAACAAAAAAAGAAACTAAATAAAATAGGACTAAATAAAAATATATGATTCAAAAACGAAAATATCAGTTAGTAAATACATCAAACTACTAATATATACATTCAATATGCAATATGCATACAAGGAAAGAAAATCTGTGGTACATACACATAGTGGCATACACACACTACATAAATCACAAGGATTTGTTGATGTTCTCTTAGTGCAAAGCTACACAATAGGCTATCTACAGTCTGTCCACAAAGGGTATTCAAACCCCTGATTTCTGTTTGCAAGTGGTAAACTTTCCACTAACCCGCTGGGAGAAAGTGGGGCAAAATTGTAAGGAACAATGCCAGACTATTACAATTATATAGGATAAGTAATAATTGAAAATATGATACAAATAAAAAGTGGGACAGAGAATTTCACCTGTGTAATTATCAAATCCAGATTCTGAAAAGGAAAATATATCAGAGAAAATTAGTGGAAATTATGTAGGTTTTGAGAGGAACCTGTAGAGAAACAGAAAATATGTTCCGACATAACTAAAAGATCAAACTTCAGAAACATTAATAAAGATTTTAAAAAAATGTTAAATTAAGAAGCAACATAATAGCAGATTGTTGGAAAGCATACATGGCATTATGCGATAGTAAAGGACAGTAAAAATTTCTTAAATCAAGAAATACAGACAAATATAAATTCAAAAGCATATACAGTGCCAACTAAAACTTACAAATACCAAACACATACACATCACTTTGTCTCATTTATTAGTAAATTTACAGTAAAAAAACATTCATACTGTAAAAACAAATTAAGACACCTGATGAATACCATAAGTTTATACTCATCACCATAAACACAGCAACAACCAACAACCACTACAAAAATACAATACAACTTATAACACTGTAGCTCTTTTATTATTCTAAAAATAATATGAACTACATAAGTAATAACTTTTAAATTAATATATAAATTATAATCAAATTTTTATTATCAGTAAGTAAAAAATGCTAATAAGACAACCAGCATACCAGAATATACAGGAAAACCATCATAGTGGGAAAAGACTGAAAAGAGACAAAAACTACAAGAAACAAAATGAGAAATTAAATAAGTAAGAAAAATTTAAAGAATTGAAAAATGAATATAATAACCAAGTAACAAATTACCAACCGAAAAATGAAAAAAAAAACTATCCCCATACAGAATTCTTACTTCAATTTCTTTTGTATCATTATTTAACTAAATGTTTAATAAAGCTTGTTTTATCAGACTATCTAGATTTTTTCCACTGTCTTATAAATCTGTAGAGCAACTATAATAACTCCTTTTAAATATAAAAGTAACATAACTGACTCTCCAGCCTAACATGTATTGATTGACCCTACAACAGTACCAAAAATGAGAGAAAGGCTCCCTTACATACATAAGCTCTGACCACTTTTAAAAACTTGGGGAAAACCCTGTCTGGTCTTTTTGCTTTTCTTTAATCTCTGTCTTTCTACTTACTACCTACACAAGTCAAGTCAGTCCCATTTCCTACAGAACGCTCAGGGTAAGGAATATTGGCAACATTTTCTCTTGATGAGAATACTTAAAACAGTCATCTCATACTCATAATCTTTAAAGTTCAAGTTAAACAAAACCCTAGCTATCAGTATTCCTTAGGTGCCCAGTCCCCATTTTAACATCTTATTTGTGTTAGTTCTGACATTATTAGGCAACTATTTTTCATAAACCATTTCGAATTTCCTAATTTGTTTTTTAACCAAATCCTTAGCTTACCTGGAGTTCTGTAAATCTTGCAAGCTATCCATTTACACATCATAAACTTATAGCATTTATCTCCGTTTTTCTTATTTATATCTTTAGTAAGTGAAATGGGTTTGCACTTTCCTTCTATTATTTTCCTACAAAACTCCACTAACTCAAAAATATAGTTTTCTACTCACAAAAATGATGATATTAATCAAAATGGCGGACAAAGACGTCATTCTCGCTTCAGTCTTGGTAAATTTAAATTACTATAAATTTCTGCTTTGATAAATTAGTCTTTCTAAAACTAAATGAACATATATAGAGTGTAATTAATGCATGCTAACACTTAAAACACTTTCCACTTACCTGGAAAAAAGTTAAAATGTACTTTTATATAAGCGCTAACTGACAATATTTCCAACCTCGTTAATCAGTAGCGACTTAACATCGAAGCCATCGGCCTTAGTAGGCCTAAGCAACGATGCTCCCGAGCGTTGAAGTAACAGCCCGCGGATTCTGACCGAGCAGTGAACAATTACGAGTGTCCAAGCGATAGTTGATAAACTCTCACTCACAAAAAATTATCACAACGAAAGTTTCCAAACAATCTAAAAGCAACAATGTATCATGTAAATAAAACGAACTACATACTTCTTGCAACCAATCCACCTGGAATTATTATTTGAAAACAACCAATAGGTAGTGAAATATTAAAACGCAACCACCCAAAACGCACCGTAACAAAATGGCTCGTAACGTAAATATGGCTGCTTAAGACTGGCTATGCAATCTCCATGTTGGGAGAATTTGGAATCAACTTCCTTCAGACCTTATATTTATTCGTCGTTTATTAAACATTTAACTGAATAAACAAAAAAAAACTCATAAAAAGATTAATGTTAATGAAAGATTAGCGCCAAAACATTATATGAAATTTCAAACAATTAAATTACGGATTAAAAAATCATGAAACCCGAGTCATTAATCCAAAGAGATACTACGATTTTCTTCTGACTGCATATATGAGTTACAAAAGATAGATTGTTATACCTTATTTGATTGGCTTATCGGATAAAATGCTATCGTCTGGTTGGTCATCACTTGCAAAATATTATTTTGTTAGAAAAGAAGGGATTTCTAACTCCCTCTTTTGACGATGTTTACAGACCAGAATTAAAGGTTTTTAATAAAATTACTTTGTACAAATAAATGTTCTACAACGAATTTTCTGAAGAAATACTTAACAGTATGCTTTAATTAGAATTGAAACACTTAATTTTGTTTAATATGTTTATAGTTAACTGACATATTTAAAAAAATTAAATATAAAGTATAATAATAGTATATTTTCTTACACTAAGTATAGTAATAGTATATTTTCTTACACTAATTTATGCCCCCCAGTGGCACAGCGGTATGTCTACGGACTTACAACGCTAGAATCCGGGTTTCGATACCCGTGGTGAGCAGAGCACAGATAGCCCATTGTGTAGCTTTGTGCTTAATTACAAACAAACACTAACTTATATATTGATTTCAGAGTTTACATAAGTATTTAAAACCTAAAAGTATATAAACATAGTCCACAGGTAGCACAGCGGTAAGTTTAAGGACTTACAACGCTAAAATCCAGGCCTTAATTATCCGTGGTGGACACAACAAATAGCTTAAAGTAGCTTTGCTCTAAAAACAAAATAACTATAAACATACTTCAAATAATGATATGTCGTCTGAAAAACTTATTTGTGTTGATTTTTTACTCTTATGATTATCTCATTGTGTGTGTTTGTTTTATAGGAAAGTCACAATGACTTATCTGCTGCGCTCACAACGGGGAATCGAACCCCAGATTTTAGTGTTGCAACTCCCACCGAGGAATCATTAATTAAAAAAGTTTATTTATGTTTAAAAGCTAATAACAATTTTGTATTTATAATAATGAAATATAAAAAATATAAACTTGCGTACATATTGTGACTTAAAATAACGAAAAGAAAAAAGTACGTTATTATATTTGAAATCAACGCCTTAATATATTTTTGGAGAAAATAGGTTAAATGTAATGTGTTTCATTTACTTGTTTCCTCCCACTGGCAAAGCGGTATGTCTGCAGACTTACAACGGTAGAAATCGGGTTTCGATACCCGTGGTGAGCAGATCACATATAGCCCTTTGTGCATAACTACAAAACAAACAAACTTATTTGTTAGCATATGTCTTTGTTTTCAAGGTTTTAACTGTTAATTTCCTTTACATAATTTTACAAATAATTTTTGTCATTGTACTCATTATTCCTGCTTTTTAGTTTTGCAGTTCAACATTGTACTTGATATTTTTCTTTCGTTTTCTGAAATCTAAAAGCAAAATAATATATATATCACAAAATAAGTTCTACGTACAATAAAAAAATACCTTTAATGAAACACGAAAATGAACTAATTCCACTTTTAAAATTGTTTAACTTAAAACAAGAAAAAAATGAAATAAAGTTCATAGCTGAAAAGTAAGAATTCAGGAAATTATAAAAACCATTCCCAAAATAAAATAGTGTAGTATAGTTATAAAAAAATAAGAAATAAACACAAAAGTTAATTTTCAAACAACTTACGCACGAAAAGTTTAAAAGCGTCACATTTTTATTTAATGTAAATCATAACACAAATATTAAACTCTCATGAAGATAATAGTACAAGAATAGAGGCTTATAAATCTAAAAGAAAATGAGAACAATGAAACACAAGATGATAAGGGCAGATGTTTCCGAGTTATTTTGTAACATTTTTAATAAAACAATACTTATTATAATACAAAGATTGGGTTCTCAAATTGAGGACGGCAACCCGTGCGGGTAAAAGTTCGTATCAGAGTGAAATAACACAGATAAAAATATTTCATCCAAATTGATCTTGACATCTGAGAAGTGGCTGAGATAACACTATGTGCCAACATAACAGCAATTAGGAGTGTGTTACGAGAACCAAATAAGTAAAAGTAACTTAGGCGACTTCATTTTTCTGAATTCATTGAGTGAGGATCCTCGGCCTAGGTGTATAATGATAATGTCATTGGGATCTTGAGTCAAGAAGGACGAGGGATTCCTGATTAAATCTAAAAAAAACGCTATAGCTTCCGTTGAAGTTGCTGTAGTTATTTTCTTTCAAGCAAACGAGACTAGAATTTTCTATTCAAGCTGTATTTTTGTAAATCTAAAAGTCACTGTAGGTGGTTATTATTTTACTATTAGTTCGCATAAGCAAATAGGCTAAATGATTATTACTGAAAATGATTATATGATATAAAAAGTAATAATTTGTAACTTCATTCAATAGCAATACGTATAAAATTAATAAACAACATCCAACATGAATCTTTCTACAAGACTACAACACAAATAAATGAAGCAATTTTAGAACTAAGGGGTGTTAAAAATAAATCACACTTTTTCCCCCGAAGTAATAACGAATTTGGTAGGATTGCGGATATCATCACTCATGAGAAAACGTCATTTCAACGTACTCTTAGGTGTTTGACTCTTCGAATTTCAT